GTTGCGGGGCAAATGCAAATACGGACCGTGGTAGGAAGAACAAGTTGGTTTTAGTCGGGGCTAGAAGAAGCATTTGACGATTATCCAATAAAAAAAAATCCCTCATTACAAGCTATTTGGTGGTTCGCTATTTCTAAGGAATAGTAGTTTTTTTCAATCAGTCTCACAATAAAATATTAGCTATGGTTTTTATACGTGCTATCAAACTACATAGTTAGCTAGTTTTCATAAATATATACCTACTATTAGCTTCTGTCGCGCGGTTTCACTCGCTGCGCGGCTCCTACAAAATGTTGCGTGATGTTTTATAGCTTTTGCCAGCGACTCCGTTCGCGTGGAATAGTGACTTCCTGCAGATTTTTGGTATAAAAACTACCCTATGTCCTTTCTCGATTTCCAAACCATGCTTGTACCAAATTTAACAGAAATCGGATCAGTAGTTTGCGTGAAGAAAAGACAGACAGAGAGACAGAGTTACTTTCGCATTTATAATATTAGTAGTAAGTAGTATAGAAGTATAGATATAGATATAGATAGTACAAATATACCTATGAGTATATGTATAAAGGTAAGTAATTAAAGTACAATTAAACATCGTTCATGCATCAAACTATATCAGGTTTTTAAGAATGATGTATTTAACTAGCTGTTACATATAATCCGAGACCAAATTCTAGAAAATAAATCGGCTAATAATTGCCAGAGCAGTGTTATGTATCGAAGCTTTTAATCGAACATGACTTAGGTATTTGGGTTATTGACGTGATTGTTAAATGTCGAGAAATCGATACCTACTCGTACGAATGACACCTTGACAATGGACGTATTTATTCAGGCAGACGATAATGAATCGTAGGACAAAGATTATTAGTAAGAAAAATATCTCTAGTTCTTTTGTTGAAATAAGCAAACATTTTATAAGTTTTATAAGGCTTTTAATCAGTAGGAGTCTGACACTCCCTTTGACCTCACCTAGAGCAGGAGAAGTCATTTGATAATTTCTCCCATCAAAAAAGACCTTCTTTGTGGTTAAACTTGTCTTTTTTTTGTGCAACGAGGTACACAAACCATATTAAATTAATGTACCTACTAAAATAATTCAGTAATAATAATAAAGCAAAACTTTAAATAAACAATAGTCTTCTGGAAGTCCTTCATTATTTTAAGCAATCAGTTACAATCTGAAAGCTCGGCTCCGCCTCTGATTGATCGATGTTCAGAAACACCACAAGGTACACCATACGGGACACTCCTGTAAGATTTATTCCAACCGTTTTAATACCCGGTTTCTATATAAATACTTCCGTAATTTCCCCTTTCGTATTGAACTCTGAGCATTTAATGTCGGTGCCATTAGCTATGTGGTTAGGCGATTTGTAACAGTGAACAATTGAAGGATCATTATCATTACTAAGTTTAAAACAAATTGCTTTTCAATTTTTATGAATTGTTTTCACCAATCCAGCAAACGATGAATGTATACGGAAATAGTTAAAAGTACTAAGTACTAGTTCAGGAGCGGGCTTCATTTATTTGTTAACCTTACCTAAAGTTCGTTAAAAATACCATAAATGTTAACAAACTATCGTATTCTGTCAAGTCTTAGTAAAATTCTATTTAAATATTCTAAATCGTACAGGATTTATGTATGTAGAAAGAAATCTAAATAAAATTGATTTAATCATTACAAAACCATAATGAAGTACCTACCTATTAAGCTTTAAAGTAAAAAAAAGCTTTAAAGTTAAGTAAAATAAAGTCTAGAATTTAACTAACGAACTTAATAAAAATGTAACTAAACATTTATTACAGTTTTCGTTTACCTCATGCAATAAATAAAAAAAGCCTTATAATTATTTCATGGAAAATTAGAAAATTATAACTTAAATAACATTTTTTTTTTTACTAAACTTATCCTATATTGTTTCTTGTTAGAATGAGTTTAAATGCATTTGAGGTTTTATTGAGGTTTATCTCATGTATCCATTCTATTATTATTAGAGTGCGCCCAATCAGTGAGAAGGAGCGTTCGTGTGGCGAGCGCTTGCTGCTGGAGTTCCCCGGCAAGGGACAAGTAGTCTGTCACAACACCACGCCCAGTCAGAAGGCGAAAGTCTTCTCCTATAATGTTGTCTTCGAACCCGAGGCAACCCAGGTAGGTTTATAATTAGCAAAAGCGATTTTATTTTTTAAGAACCTTGATGTAACAATTCAGATCTCACCTAGGAATGAATATACCTAAGTGTACTACTTTAAAAAAGTAATTATAAATTAGTTTATTTTCCTTTTTTAATAATCTAATCAAGTACAAAGATATTATTTTAAGAGAGAAAGTTACTTTGCAACGTGTATCACATAATTATGAAATATGGCAAATAATACCATAATATACCTACTGGCTAAATTGATCTGATCAATAACGGGAAAATCATGTTGCAGGAAGACATTCTAGAATATTCAGGAGTTAAAAGACTGTTGGAGATGGCAGTGGAGGGGTTCTCTTGCACCGCTTTCTGCTACGGACAGACTGGGAGTGGGAAGACACATACCTTGACTGGACCTCCGGGATTGGTGAGTGTACTATAAATTATCCATAATGTACTAACTTACTCTTAATCATAAACTTATTCTTAAGTAGTTATGCGGAAAAGCTACGATCTTTAACCACCTCGTAAGTTCTAGCCTAGGCAAACTTATAATTTTTAATTAAGTAGGTAAGTATATAGTTTTCAATTATAAGTTCTGGTTGAGAAAAGTTGAACCTCTACAACCTGATGTTGGTTTCTCAATGAACTTTGAAAATTGGTATCTACGTACTTATAAGGTACAAGTTTTGGAACCGTATCCTCATACTTCAGTATTTGGCGCCATAACTACGCGGCCACAAAGATGGCCAGTTTAGTAGTTATTAGTGCCAAACTTAAAACCTAGCAGGCCAAATCTATGCCTGACCCATTTCATTAGCTCGTTCGATGACACTCATAGGGCACCATCAATAAAATTTTCTAAACGAAAAATGAAGCAACGAATTTATTTTTGCAAATAGGCTATAAATACATCACCTTCACATGTCAAAATTATAAGTAGGTATGTATATAAAAAAGTAGATAAAGCCGGCAGGCGGATAAATAAGAGCCTTTTGTACATAAATGTGTCCACACTGGCCACAGCTCATAATTGTTACGACCACCTATTAATTATTAATCTTAGAATCCTTACACTCAAAACCACAGAAACATCAATATCATAAAAAGAAAATTTGAACAATTCCCTTATCAAAAACTAAAGATCAGGAAATGACAGTCAAACATCCGTAACTACCAACAATTTAGTGTGAACATAAGTTAATAACGGCTTCGAAATGACAGGCCATTCCGACCTCGTGGGGGCTATCGATCGGAACCAGATACATTATCTTTATGTATGTATGTATAGTGCATTGATGGGTTATGATTACTATTACGACAGATTCATTGATAGGTAGACTGTCTACGACTTTCTGAAAACCCTGTTTCCGTAATTTAATAGTAGGTAGAATTTTTGTGTATAGTCTGTAAGGCTGAGTAGAAGCTAGTGTTAATAGTCTTTGGTGTTATGATCCCGATAAAATATAAGTAGCAGTATTATAATAAAATGGTATGGTTAAGGATTAAATTAATATATCAAATCAATGCAATCATCAAATAATTGTTTGACTGATTGATCAAACTGACTGATAGAAAAACATCTGAACATCCACCTTACTGAACAAGGGATGGAATGGTATACTACTCTTTTTTGTAGTTTAACACAATGTTAGTTACTTGTCATCTTTTAGTTTTAGTAGGTAAAAGTTAGATAAGCGCTACCAGTCGGTAAGCGATAAATTGACTCATCAATTTACAGAAAGCTTCACAACAAACCAGTGACAATTATAAAGGTAATCACGTTAAAACAATGGCGTAACATAGACAGTGTCACGCGATGCAGTTCGACTTTAGCGGTCGTTTCACAGTACCTAATGTAGCTACTTAATTGATATTATGCTGTTGAAACCCAGAAGTTTTGCATAGGATGGGTGTTAAACTTATAAAATACCTCCAAGATTAATATATTTTAGGCCTGGTTGGCTTAGGGTAGTGATAGTAAACAAGCGGTTGCGACAGTCGTTGCAAGGATCCATCAGTTGGGACTCGAGGTGGCGCTCCAAAGTCCGAAGCCATATGTTTTTATGGCCATCGGAACGGGCCACCTCCAGATAGGTCCCAAATATCGGCAGTAGGGTTTGCCAATCCGTGTCAAGTCGGCGATGAAATACCTGGGTCTCGTCCTCGACAGCCGGTAGAACTTCACGGAGCATTTCCGTCGTTTGGCTTTTAAGTTGCAACGGACTGGGGCCGCACTCAAGCGGCTCCTTCCCAACCTGGGGGGTGCAGACGCCTCCTGTCGGAGGTTGTATATGAGGATTCTGCGATCCATGGCCCTCTACGGGGCCCTGTGTGGGCGCCGAACTTGAGGCGGCGGCCAGCTCGTACGCTGGTCGCGTCCCAGAGGGTCATGGCTATCCGGATAATTCACGGATATCGCACGATCTCCAGGGAAGCGGCCGTGTCACCGCCGTGGGATCTAGAAGCGAAGGCGCTCGCGTGCGTCTACAGTTTGCACGCAGACGCGCGTTGCCCGGATGAGGAACCTCTGCCGCGCCAAATTATATACAAAAACTTGAGAACTTATCATAGTTTCTAGAACCCACATATTCAAAATTTTGAGTTAATGTCGAAAAGATTGCGATTACTAAATAATAAAGTGTAAGTGTAGGAGAGCCTTGCTTCGGCACGTATAGGTCGGCCCGACCGGAGTGAAACTACGGCCTCACAGAACACTGGTGTGAAACAAACACAGCGTTGTGTTTCGCCGTTTGGGTGAAGTACCGGAGGCACAATCCTTCCTCTACCCCAATTCCTAAGTTTCCAAATCCCCAAAAAGTCGACAACGCATTCGTAACTCCTTTGTTGTTGCGGATGTCCATGGGCGGCGTTGATTGCTTACCATCAGGTCCGTCTGCTAGTTTGCCAACCTATTACATAAAAGAAAAAATAAAAGCGAATTTGGTAGGCCCAATATAGGTTACAAAGTCTTTAACCTTATATACCTCGATCCAAATAGGATATGCGACTTTTCCACCTTACTAGGTTCCATCGTTACTTTGTTATTTTATAACGACTGTATTACCTAATTTACATTTTATACAACAGTGTTACATTACCACAATGAATTTAACATAAACAAGGGCCAATTAAAAAGTCAATCACGCTAAAACTAGACCGCGTGACATGTGACGTCACGCAAGCTGCACCTACTTATTGTACATATGTATTTTATAGCCGCTAAATGAGTTTTTATGGCCAATAATGTATATACTAGGTATACAAGGTACGAATCCAAATCCATTAGGTACCTTTACAAATTCATTAAATTGTTCTCCGATTATTAGACACAAGATTTTGCCCGTGACTCCGTTCACGTGGAAAAGTGACTTCCTGCAGATTTTTGGTATAAAAACTATCCTTTGTCCTTTCTGGAGTTTCAATCTATGTCTGTACCATATTTCACAGAAATCGGTTCAGTAGAAGTTCGTGAAGAAAAGACAGACAGACAGTAGTTTTGTACTAGACTGCGAACAAATAAAGATCCACGCAAGCACAAGACAGGTTTTTTTGAAGGGTAAATTCACTTCACTTCTACTTTTCTCGCCCTGGGTGGGAGCGAGAGGGAATATCAGACTCTCACTGGCCGATTTTCACGACCCTGTTCCTTCTCCTTCTCATGCTTCCATTGTGGCTACGGAACATTTTTGCGCTTTCACCCTGGTTGGGAGAAGAAGACAGGCTAACTTCTAATCCTCCATCCTTAATTTTGGTCTACCTTTTCATCGATTTGGTTTTAATTTCTTAATTCAAAACAACATTGAACGCGTAACAGAATGATTGTTTCTTAGTACTTGCATACGAGAGTACCCATAGGATATGCTAGAGCAGATCCAAGAAATAAATTTAATTAAGTACTTAATAAAAAAGAAATAAATCTAATTTTCGATCTTTCCTAAATCTTCTATCTAGGTTCTATTTGTTACAGGTTGAAAGTGGAGCGAGTCCATTCGCTCCAGAACATGGCCTAGTGGTCCGTTCCTTCGTCCACCTGTTCCGACTGATCTCTGAGAGACCGGAGTCACACTTCATATTAAAGGCATCCTTTCTAGAAATATATAATGAAAAGGTATGTTACTATGACAAAATTTTCAATGTATTGTCTAGAATTATGTCAGTTCGTGCTGCTATTTTTGCAATGCATTTTTCAATAAGGCGGTTTATGGGTTGCCCAAGTTCTTACAACTAGTGATTGGCCAAAACATGACCTTACGCTAAATTAGCGCTATCTTGAGGAACAAAAATGATATCCTATCAGCAACCATTTAGTAATCAGTTATCGAAAAGGTTGAAAACGTTCAGTGTCTATTATTGTAGTTTATCTTTAAGTTTATCTTCATTTGAACACCAAGTTTTATTTTCATTCTTATATCACACCTTGATTCTAGGTAATAGATCTCCTTAACCCGGGCAGTGCTCGGAAACCACTGCAGGTGCGGTGGTCTAAGGAGAGTAGAGGCTTTTACGTAGAAAATCTGTTTACCGTGGACTGTGAAACCCTTGATGACTTGTTCGCTGTGTTAGAGGAAGGTAGGTGACCAATTAACCTTTACAAAAATTGCCTACAGCTTTATATCGATGAGTAAGTTATTGGTTTGTTTGTATGCTCTTTTTCTTGATCAGATACTAAATCGTCTGTTCTACCAAAGTTTCAATCTAAAACCTGACACTACCTACTACTTATCACTGCAGTGTAAGCTGGTGTATTTCTCCCTGTAGTTATCTAGACGGTTCCTTACTAACCTGTAAACTTCCCCAGGCATGCGCAACCGAGCAGTTGGTGCGCACGCGATGAACGCTCATTCGTCTCGCTCGCACACGTTACTCTGCGTGCGCGTGCGCAGGGATCTACGTGAGGACGCCGGCGTCGTCTGCTCCACCCACGGGAAGATCAATTTCGTGGACCTCGCCGGTAGTGAGATGACTAAACGGACTCATAGCACGGGGAAAACTTTGGAGGAAGCGAATAATATTAACAGGAGTCTTATGGTGCTTGGTAAGTCCTCAAAATAAGAAGGAGAAAGTTTAATGAGAATGGGTGCTGTTAGAGAAAACTTTGTAGTAAATAAGCATGGGTTGGCCCAATAGTAGTCTGTATACGAGTAACACTTGATACAGACTACTATTGGGTGCACGGTTGGCGCGGTGGCTGGGCAACTGGCTGTCGTGCAACGTGTCGCGGGTTCGATTCCCGCACGGAACAACTCTTTGTGTAATCCACAAATTATTGTTTCGGGTTTGGGTGTGATGTGTTTGTGAAGTTGTATGTTTGTAAACGCACCCACGACACAGGAGAAAATCCTAGAGTGGGGCAACGTTTAAAAAAAAAAAACATCGTTTAGCACTAGGAGAGAGAGTGGCCAAACGAGGGCCCCTTGCGAATCACAAAGTGGAATTCCAATGCACATTGCAATATAAAACTTAATACTTAGGTACTTACTAGTCTCTGCTTTTCTTGAGTAAAAAAAAAACTTCGAAATACTAATTGAAAGTTTTTGGAAACAGGTTACTGCATAGCACAGTTGAGTGACGGCAAGAAACGAGGCCATATACCGTACCGGGATAGCAAGCTCACCAAACTCCTAGCAGACAGTCTTGCGGGGAATGGAGTCACACTCATGGTAATGCCATAAACCTTAACTGAATATTCCCTAAGTGAAGACAATTCGTGTCCAGAAACATAGAATTTTTCTCCTATTGTTCCAGATCGCCTGTATAGCTCCCACGAGATCAAACTTGAGTGAGACGATCAACACTCTCCGATACGCTGCTCGTGCTAAGAAGATCAAATCCAAACCTATAGTTAAAATGGTAAGCTCAACTAAATCACTTACTTTACCAACATACCGTTTCCAACCACTATTAGAAACAGATTTCTCCGAAATAGTGCCCTTCTCCATCTTCAGATCCAACTACTGCCACTTATGGCAAAATTTTGAGATCCATCCAATTTTAAGCGCAATGTTTATCCTTTACTTCGCGAAAAATTAATAACTGGGAGTATATCTATCTGATTATGTGATTTGACGCTCTTAACTTTTCCAGGATGCGAGAGATGCTCTCATTTTGAGTTTGAAGAGGGAGGTGGAAGCTTTGCAAGCTGAGAATCAACACCTGAGGACTGCACTGCACGTGCAGACGGACTACAATGTGGATTCTTATAGTAAGGACTTTTACCTTCATTAATTCAAAATGTTAATTTTTTTTTCTAAATCATCAACATAGTGTAGGTACTCTGAAAAAGCTCTTTTAAAAAAGCGATAACTAAAATTAGTTTAGGGTAATTACAGTAGATACCTTGCTAAATCTGAATATAATATCGATTCTAATGTTATTTTTTTTTAATTCTAAGTAGGTAACAATTGCCAATCAATGAGCAACACGTGTCAAAACTCCTACCTTACCTCTTATTTTAAATTTTCACAGGTCAACGCAGAACTCCAACCCAGATTGAACCAAATAAACTGTATCAGCTTCCACAATCGGAACTGGTAGAATTAGTACAACTTCATATGGAAGAGAATTCGGCGTTGAGAGCCGAGAACAGCGAATTGTTTGGAGTGAGGGACTCCTTGCTTAGAGACCAGGAACTGCTCAGCAGAGAGAACGAGAGACTCCTGAAGAAATTAGAAGACGTTAACTCGTAAGTATAGGTACTACACTTTTGTGGATCATATGCGACGGGTTGGGACTGTGAGGGTTGGAGAAAAGTAAACAGGAATTACTTACCTATTGGACTTCAATTGACTAAAAAAGCCAGTGGTGCCATCTGCACACTGAAACTACATATTTTGAACTGCACTAAAAAGATTTGAAAATCTGGAATGCCTACTAAACTAAAATTCTAACTAAATTATAATGGTGTTCCTAGGGCAATGTTTGGATTCAGCTGATACTCCAGAGTGAACTCAGGGAGGTCAGTCACAAAATCTTAGGGCTGCAAAAATGCATGACACAAAACACTTCACACCGATATTTTACTAAATATTAGCATATTATTAACTAAATATAAACATTAAAACATTGTTCTGCGCATGATTAAAAACAAATTTTAAGTTTTTCAACACCTAAACACTATACCACGTGTGCTTTAGTGGACAATTTACAAAATTAGAATTGCATTTACAAACTATAAAAATCATTTTTAAAGAAACATTTCACTCCCTATTTTTTGTCGTGAAGAATCGAGATATCCTACAATTTCTTTGGACAACATGTCAAAGACCTTTTCAGAAACCAATGACATTGTTTCTATGAACCATTGGAAAGACACAGTAAAAATAAGGGTCACCCTAAAATGGTTGATTTCCAAGGACGCTACAATATGCCTAATGCATTATAATACAGACACGTTTTTAATATTATTTTTATTTTCACAGTGTATGCGTTCGCTCACCTATCATACCGGCGCGGCCAACATACTCTGGTTCCAACGACAATGAGGCAAACATTTGGACCAACCCCGTCAGTTCATCCGCAAGTATTGTCAGTGGAGGAAGTTAGAAATCAATTTGGGTTGAATTTTGTTGGTGAAAAAATATACACTCAAACATTCTGGTAATAAGGGTTAAAGCTAGATGGTTCTACTGTTATGTTGAGTCAATTTGACCAAGGTTGAAAATGAGCTAGTGTTAAAACTATTGGGCATTAAATTGCAGCCAGCTGCAATGATTGGGTATACAAAACCCAAAGCTAGTTTTGCAACAAAATGAAATAATTTGTTTTTCGCTTGTAACGCCATCTGGTGACCAAAAATGAACTAATGGGAATATGGTAATAAGATGTATAAAATGTATAGACAATAAAAAGGAGTTTGGACAGATATGTATAGTATTTTGGTATTACTCGTAAGTTAGTTGTAGACATAGTACTTGTACTGTTTTTTATTACATATTTGATTTTAAATTTCCTTTCATCCCATTTGACTTGCATAAGACATTGCATTTCCATGTATATAGATATTAGGTAGAAGTCTAGAAGTACAAACTTAGCGTATTAGAAAGAAATAAACATTATGAGAGTGAATGTGTTTTATTTATTAATTTCTTACTCCTTGTCTATGGTATTTGATTCATTTAAATTGGTGTCGCCTTTTGTACACTTTTTGACATTACAATATTTATGAAGTAAAAAATTCATACATTCAAATTTTGAATGAGACACCATCCACCAAAACATATGAAAGCCGAAGAGAAAACCTTGCTTTTGTAAAAAAAATTGAAACAATATAAAACTGTGTACTGTAAAAATTTTGTATGGCTTAATTAATGCTTTTTTTTATTTGTTTATTTGGAAACTAAATCCTCTTTTATATCATTAAACAGTAAATTAAGTTTTCAAAAAAGGAACAAGACCAAGGTTTTGACAAAATGCAATCCCAAGGTTTTTATGTCCAAGGCTATAATATGGGGCACAATTTATTTCAAATATTTCCCTTAAACTTTATGAAGTATGTCTTTAAATAACTATACAATAAAAAGTTATCCTAATAACACAGTAGTTAGTGTCTTCTAAATCCATATTTTTTCCTCTCATAGAACAGATCAGTCTTTGAACTACCCAAGTTCACAATCTTCGGACATCCATCCCTCTGTAATAAAACACAGTGTAATAAGTACATTAACTAATTATATGTATTAATTTCAATGAAGTATAGAATCTTAAATACTTATACTTATTTCACAGGCTTTTTCCACATTTTAGCTTCATAACTAGGGCTAGAAAACCCGACATGATTATAATTCTTAATTCCTCAAAAGGTTCACACTTCAGTTTATTATCTAATAATATTGGGTATGGTGTAAGTATGTGAATGCCTCTAAGTTTCAGTTCCGATTTTATGGGCATTTTATTTGAAAATGTTAGTACTTACATCTTTTTCCTGTATAGTGCACTCTTTGCAATAGTAAGCGTCGGAAACGCCGGGACCACCGCAAATTACACATCGTCCCTGATACGACCCATAGTTACACTCGTCACATATCCTCACCAAGGTACATGGACGTACATAGGAGTCGCAAATCACGCATTTTCCATCACATTTCTCACACAAACGGCCTATAGCTGAAAAATAATTTGTTTTTAATGAAACCTCACAATGGTTTTTATTTAATATAAGAGTACTTAATAGAAGACTTACCAACGCCTGGTTGTTTTCTGCAGAAGATAAGATCTGGATGATGCTTTGCCATAATTTGTAATTAGTTTGCGTGTAATGTAGTCAAATAAAATTAATTGAACTTACAATAACACTACTGACAGATAACCTCAAAAACACGACGCTAAGCTGTTTACTTTTACGTTCAAATACACAATTAATAAAAAAAAAAAAAAAAGCAAAATTAGACACATCCCAATTTGCCACGTTATATTTTAATAAAATTTCAGATATATGGGACTCGTAATACTTGTAGTTAATTATTTTGAATACGACATAAATAATCAAAGCTATTTTGAATACAATTTTTGAACATAAACGGAAAATAAATGATTTTTGTCAGTAGTATTTGAACAAATTTCTTTAGTTCAAAAATGTAATGCGTTCTAATGTTTCATAATTGGCCAATTTATTAAAGTTCTATGGTTAGAAACAAAAGTATTTATAGGTAAATTTGCATATCATATTAAAGTGAAATTTGTAAAATAAATGATAGAAAACAAAATAAATAAAAAATCTTAATATTTCAAATCGTTCCATTTCATTTTTCAACGAATGACAGTACAATAACGGTATCTCCATAAACTCCAAAAAAATAAAAAAAAATAACGGTATCTGTCAAACCGCACCTTACGTCAGTTGTATTTGACATATAGATACACATGTTTCGTCTTTGCTGTCGCACGTAAAGTTAGTCAATTTTATAATTTAAAAGAAAATGACGCCCGACGTGGGCAGCGGTAGTAGTGAAGACGATAGCCAGCATTCAGATAATGAAGAAACAGAGGAGCAGGAACCAGAAGAAGCAGGAGGTGACAATGAAGAAGACGACAACACTACGTTCAAAGATTTGGTAAGTACACCCTACATGTGGTATTTATGTTTTCGTGTTCTAAACAGCCAATATTTCACCAAATACATTTAATTTCTTCCACATCACCTGATATATTGACGTAAATACGTAGTATCTAGCGGCTATACTTATTTATTTTACAGTATTATTTTGAAGTGAGGTTATGTTATTAAACTTCGTCGCTTTTCAGGGTGTAGTAGACGTACTATGTGAAGCTTGCGAAGAACTAAAATGGAAGAAACCTTCGAAAATCCAGAAAGAGTCGATACCTGTGGCATTGCAAGGGAAAGATATCATTGGGTTGGCGGAAACTGGGTCTGGTAAAACTGGCGCTTTTGCCCTGCCTATACTACAAGCTCTGTTGGAAAATCCACAACGATACTTTGCGTTAATATTGACACCTACCAGAGAATTGGCATTCCAGATATCAGAACAGTTTGAGGCACTTGGTAAGTTTTAAAAAATGATTTATCATTTATTTATCATGATGTTTCCAAATTTGTCCTGAACATTGTTACCACATTAATTAATAAACTTAATAATAGACAATACTAATGTGTACTCAACTAATTCATAGAACTGTTGTAATCAAAAGTGATACTTGCAGAAAATAATTTATTGCGAACAAAATTACCCAAAAAACTTGTGTGGTATTTAATACCTACTAAAAAAATATTTGACAGATCAAAAGATTGATAGTTTGCTCTTTTCCCTAGACTTTATTAATTTTAAAGTTTAAATACTTTTTACAATAAATTAATTATAAAACTCACAGGTGCAAGTATAGGAGTGAAATGTGCAGTAATCGTGGGAGGCATGGACATGGTGGCCCAAGCTCTCATTTTGTCCAAGAAGCCGCACATTATCATAGCCACCCCAGGACGACTGGTTGACCATCTTGAGAATACTAAGGGATTTAATCTTAAAGCTCTCAAGTTCTTGGTAAGTCAAGATCCTTTGACATGTGTTTCTAATTCAATTCAATTCAATTCAATTTATTTCAGATAATAAAAATCCATAAAATTACATTACATAACATAGATTACATTAAATATAAGTGAGTTAATGGTGAGCTAATGGGTGTTGCCAGTGAATAATGAATTAAATGGTTGTAATTTTTCAGGATTATTTTTTTCACATGTCATAGTTTGTCATTGTTTTGTCAAATTAGTATATCTACTTACATAATATTAATAATGATAATTTTATTATTATTTTCTATTATCAAATGAGATGTTCATTCATAAATTTGAACCAAACCCAGAATACTTAATGTGGTTTATATTAAATAAAATAATTAAATGAAAATTTTACTTGGTTTGAACTTAATTTTCATATATTTTTGTTTCGTACAGGTGATGGACGAAGCTGATCGCATTCTAAACATGGATTTCGAAGTGGAAGTCGACAAGATTCTTCGCGTGATCCCTCGCGAGCGACGCACGTACCTCTTCTCTGCCACAATGACTAAGAAAGTGCAAAAGCTACAAAGGGCCTCCTTGCAGGATCCTGTAAAAGTCGAGGTCTCCACTAAGTACCAAACTGTTGAGAAGCTGCTACAGTACTATCTCTTCATCCCTGTTAAATATAAGGTTGGTTAAAGTTATATTCAATACTAAAACATAATTAAGTGGTTTTCAGTATTTCAATATTAATATAAATAGATCAATTATGTTGCTCTGTGTTGACTTCGATTTTTAGGCCCTATATAGCAAGTTTGATTTCAATTTTCAATTCGTACATGTTTCGATGTGACCCATGACTACATGTATTGTGTCAACCATGACTGGAACTGGGATTATTTATTATATTAATTTTTTATTTATTATTTATAAGTTTGCTTCTAGTCGCTATTGTATTATGGGGTGAATAGAATTCAAGGGCCGAAAGACACAGGAGGGATTCACCCCATATTACCGTAACAAGTTCATTTTTTCAGTTATAAGAACTATTAGTCCATCTGCGAAGTTATCAGTATTCAAAAATCCCTATCATTCCACAGGACGTATACCTAGTTCACATTCTAAACGAGATGTCTGGCAACTCGTTCATCGTGTTCGTGGCGACGTGCGCAGGCGCACTCCGCACCGCACTGTTACTGCGCAACCTCGGTCTGGCGGCAGTGCCCCTGCACGGGCAGATGTCGCAGAACAAACGTCTCGCTGCTCTCAACAAATTTAAGAATAAAAGTCGATCCGTACTTATTTGCACTGATGTCGCTTCAAGGTATGTTTAAGCGGAAATTCATAAATAAACTATTAATCCTACTAATATTTATATTATGTACCTATCAATGTAAAGCAAAAAATCTGATTCGCAATTACTACTTGAACTAAAACTAGGATAATAAAATATTTATCTGCCTGTGTGAGGCGAGGAAATGCATCACCAAGTTCGAGTGTGAAAAGATCCTTAATTAAAACAATATTGAATAGTTTTATATTGAGAAATGAGTTGATTTTCTTATTTTTAACTATTATAAGTTTTACACTTCATTATAGTTAATTAGTCATTGTAATATTACAGAGGTCTGGACATTCCCCACGTGGATGTGGTGATAAACCTGGACATACCACTGCACAGCAAGGACTACATACATCGAGTCGGACGCACGGCTCGAGCAGGACGCGCCGGCAAAGCTATCACTTTTGTGTCGCAGGTCAGTTCTTATTAAAATCAAATCATAAACCTTAATTAACTTTCTTTAAAGATACGATCCCCTTCAAAAATGTTTCGTATAATAATAAAATTATGAAAATATAATTTAAATTTATTTCTGTTTTTAACACTATTTGTAGTCAAAAGAGAAGAAAAACTTTATTCACATTCTATAAAAAATGCTGAGTTTGTAACTGATTTTTATTGTTGTGATTTGATATTACAAATTGAAAACAATTCGTCTATACTCTATTTTAGTACGACGTGGAACTGTACCAGCGCATCGAGCAGTTGATAGGCAAACAGCTTCCGTTATATAAGACGGAGGAGAGCGAGGTCATGGTCCTGCAGGAGAGAGTTGCAGAGGCACAGCGACTTACTAAGATTGTACGTACCCTATATTTTATCAAAATTATCAATAGTTCAATAAAGCTGTTGCGCTTTCAAGATGTTTCTTTATTGAATGTATCTCATAAAACATACAGGCTAATCTCAATGCAGGCCAAGATTATTCCTAATAAATCCTCGACTTGCAATTATATCATAACAAAATGTGGCACTAGCACATTTTGTTAGTAGCTTGTTGTAGTAAAAACGTCTATAGGTATGTGACAGATATTATAACAAATATTTATTTTATTATAGGAAATGAAAGAATTAGAAGACAAGAAGAGCAGTAAAGGCAAGAAGCGCGGCGCTGACTCGGACGACGATACGGAAGAGGCGGCCGGAGTAAGAAGACGTATCAAGGGGAAGCCAAACAATAAAATCAAACATGGCGGCAAAAAGAGAAAACGTTAATAAATAATGTTGGTTAAATTGGGCTTTTATTTGCGCCCTGTATTTTATGACTCGCTATTCAAAGTACCCCCACTGTTTATTTATATCGCGTTTCTCTACTGATGAAAAAGGCACATGAATTCTTAACGGAAACTATGAGCATTCTTTAGGAAGGCTCGTGCTGGGCAGGTCGTAGGCTTTACCTAGAATTCTGACTCACACGTACTGTAGTTGTTTACCCAAAGAACGAACTTAATCCACAGATGCTGCCTGAAATATTTTCAGAAAGGTGAACCTGCTTCTATAGGCGTTTCAAACTGTGTCCTATTTCAAAGTCGAAATCATTTATTCTAACTAAACTATAAATAGGTAGGTACTTTTGAAATGTCAAAATAGAATAGTAGTCTGTCAGTCTGTTCGTCGAATATCAAGAATTACTTAGTTCTAGATCGTTGCGCTAATTTAATGGCAATTTTATTTTCTGCCATTGATCGCTATTACCGTGCCTGTACCCTTTTTGGTATTTACCCAGGTAGTACAGGCATAGGCTCATTATTTCTGGTGAGGGCTTTAGACATGCTCCTTCATAAGGCATACGCGCCCTCACCTTTGTCACTCTAGTCACGTGCGCTGCAACGTAAACTTGCGCTACGGCTCTGCTTTCCTCGGCAGGAGAGTATTCAACTACAGGCTTCATACTTCCACCTAAAATATTTTCTTAATCTCCTTACAAAGATTTCTATTATTAGTCCACAACTTACCTACGAAATAAATAAACGATCAAGTTCCATTGCTACACGTAAGTTTTATTAACAGTAACTGAAAAACGATGGATATTGAACTTGGCTTAGATGATTTAAATTTCGTTACATAAGTATGGTATTAGCAGCTAGCTACTTCGCAAGGGTTTCACTTCCAAACTACTTCTTCTTCTACTTCCAGACACAAGTGCGCACTGCAGCGTCATCTGAAGGGTTGATATTATACGATTATGGCTTCTACTTTTCTTAAGTTCTTTCATAAGCGCTATCTTATTGTACTCAGTTACCTACATATTTTATGCGTGTCTATATGTACCTATTTTCTTTCCCCTCTCATATTTATTCTGGGACACTGCCCTTGCTTTGCACCAGCCTGATCCCTGCACTACCATATGGTTAACTGATAAAGAATGCCTTACGGCATTAAGTCCGCCATTCAATTTTTGTGTGAAGAAGAAAAAAATAAATAAAGATTAATCAGAATTGATCGATACGAACTGATATAAAGTATTGTTCATTTACAACTTACCATTTAATAACGTAAAATTACTTTATTGCCTTGTCGGTTTAGCCTTTATTACTTACACCATGAAGAATTTATTTATTCCAAAAGCTCAGTGAAAATCCTTTGGCGGTTTGGTGATCCTCATAATCCTGTTATGCTATAAAATAAAAAGTAGCAGACTATCCAATTCATTGAATAGAGATGGAATGGGAAAGTTAAAGGAACTTGTACTTTTGCATGAAAGCGATACCTTGAAAAGTTATGATTAAAATGCTGTAATTATTTATCTATTGCAAAACTTGGAACTCGATTCATGTGAATTGCACTCAGACCACATAAAAAACAGATACCAAATAGTATTAGTTCCCAAAGTACAGCAGTGTTAGAAGTTGCAATGAAGCTTTGTGCGCAATTAATTAATATAACATTTTACTGGGAATCAGAGCGATCCTCAAACGAAACAAATGTGTTCAATGCTTTCTTAGAGTTTATTCTAAAAGTAAACAGTCATTTCTTTCTATAAAAAAATAAATAAAAAAAAAGAAATGCGAAAATTGCGTGGCGCCCCTAAACTCGGCGCGCACGCACATTTAAAAACCGACGCACTTAAAACTAAGCGTTTAGGAAGAAATCACAACGTTGTTTTTAATTTTTTTAATCGTTATTTATTATTTCTATACAAATAGAACTGTACAGATAATTTTTTAAATTATTTACCACATCTCATCTGCTCTCACGATAGACTTTTTACAAAAGTGAAAACTATCAACATTACGCACGTAATAAACGAGATCGCGCGCAGTTACCGCTTACCTACCGCTTCCCTAGCCACCGGCCGCGGCCGATCTACTTGAGCTGCGCGACGCGGGTGCAACTACTTCATTCAATACAAAATTACTTCTATGCTCTCATGGACAATGGAAACAAGACGTTGCTGACTCACTATCTGGCAGTAGCACTATTGCGCTCGCGTTCACGTTACCTTCGATAATATACTCTTTCACCTCGATACAAAGCGGTGCCGGTGCATCACGTAAATTTATCACAAACAATAAATAAGTACAATTTATATAAATATATATATACCGTATAACTATCCAATAATATAATACATTGGCAGTGTGACATGCATGCTCTTACATAATTTAACTTTTGTTCAAATTTAAATGCACTAACTAAAATATACATATTTAGAGGTGAAAAAGTGTATTACTTAGCAAACTAATGAAATCACACTGGAGGTCCTTATTGTAGTTATATTTAGGTATCCAGGGCCCTGCGCACTACGCCCGCGCACGGTTTGATGCCCGTCCACTGAACCCTGGCCCCGGCCAGCGTTGATCACAATTATAAGAAAACTAGTCAGTCTACAAAAATTAAGATCACAAATACAGCGGGCGTGGTGCGCACGCCCCGGCACTTAAAATAATTTCAAACTATTCCAATGTCTATACACAAGTTAAAAAACAAATGACCCGGGACGACCTCGAACTTCTTTCCTTTAACAAATCTCACCAGTCCGTACTAATACGTCTGCTAATTTTTATTAAATTATATATTAAAGCCATACGCTCCTAAAATGCTCCAATAAAAGTACTACAATTATAATGTGCGTTAGCCGTTTTATGGAGATTTCCATCTTTCGGTCATCGGTGGCCAGTGTCAGACCGGTCACTGCGCAAGGACATAAAACACAAGACTACACTATACTCCGTGGAACCGAATGTAAGGGGTTGCGCAGTGAGCGGCCCGCCGGTACAGCGGCCCCGAGTGCGGTCGCGCGGGTCGACGCCGTCCCGGGCGCCTATAACAATATCACATGTTTCGCTACTTACAACCTGTATGGCTGAAACTAATCTTCACGTTATCTTTCGCTTGTTCGTTCTTGTGTACAGTTTACAAACACTTCGGCATCAATACTAACTGACTTGCAATCCTCACAACTTATTCCATGTTACAAACTGCCAGAATATGTTCAAATACACTATTTTGTAAGAGTTTAGTTAGCGCACGCGGCGCAGTCGACGGTCCGCCCGCGAGGCCCGTGCCCCGAGTGGTCGCAGGGTGACGGTGTCCACGGTGCACTGGTACACTACGGTATATCTCACACACTCCATACGTCGCAGAGCACACGGCATTCACTTCATGCATCGAGTCACACTCAGGCTCAGGTATTCAGATCTGTAGTGTACGGGGACACGGCCTCGCGAGCGAGCCGGCGACGGGGCGCAGTACCCGCGGTACTGGGAACAATACTGCTTCAGGAATGGCGGCGCGGCGGGGCCCGGCGCGGCGGCGGCACGGCTGTACACTGTCACGCTCAGTTCAAGTCACGGTCCTCTAAGTACTTATACTCGAACGTGAAGCCCTCCTTCTTGCGCTGGCCCCACTTCTCATAGTCAAAATAGATATATGTGCCCTGTAAACAAACACACAGCATTACTACTAGCTCAGATAATCAGTTTCTGGACTCTTCTGTTCAATTCAAGAGATGGCAACTATTAATAGTGCATAAATAACTGATATCATAAGCACTAGAAGTAAAGGGCAACACAACACAGTCGTTACCTGTTCGTACTCCTCATTGATGACCTTGGGCTCTTCGTGCCTCTGGAACCACATCATGTACTTGGTGTGGAACCGCCAACTTTGCTTCTTGAGCGCTTTGGCGGCGAGGTACTGCGCCTTCGTGCCCTCCATGTAGTAGAACACGAAGAACAACGTCTCCGTCGACAGTCGCTGGAAGAACTCCACGGAGTCCGAGTGGGGAAGCAGCACCTACGGACATACTCGCTTACGTTACGCACTTATACATACAAGTGATGGCTCGACCAGTATTTGGTATTACAACGACCTTTTGACCGGGACCGGGACCTTACAGGGAAGGTCGCAGCTGTTACCTACAGGAACCAGCTAGCGTCGGCATGCAAACTAACAGTGACCCTCCCCCGGCCGCCTACTGACCTGGTTGTAGTATATCGGCGTGGGGCATATATTTCTCGGTAAATATACCCTCGTTCTTTCCGAATCGGACGGGTGCGGCATGTGGTAGAACGATGATTCCAACATTTGGAACTGTAGCTGGTGTTCCTGGAAACATATCAGTATCATTAATTTGATAAGGCAGTCATACAGCTATTCAAGGTTGCCCCCACCATGCTTCGTGTGTTGGTAACTAAATATAAAAAGCCAATGTGCAATTAGTATAATAATATAATATGTATAAAAAAAATAAAAATAAACTGTCTACAAAGTTGTTTGTGTAGTTGATGTTAAATAATTTAGTCCAATAAGAACACTTTGGAATGTCCAACAAAAATAAAATATATGTTTTCAATGAAGCTTTTAGTTTGATTCAAACTGTACATTACTAAGGATAAAAAATATTCAGATATTACTCTTCATTCATAAAATTCTTACAGTAATTTACAATTTATATGCCTACCAGGATAGAATAATGTCGTACTGACTAAGGTTAGGTGTACTAAGCAGAGAAAAGAGTTGTTAATGTATAGAATTAGTATGTATGGTTTGTTAAAAACTAAGTGATGTCCTTACAGAGTTGAGTGGTAGTGGGCCTAGCGGTGCTACGCCCAGTAACGGAGGAATGTGCGCTTGCGCTAGGGGTGCCCCTCGTCTTAGGTTCTGTAACATACAACCATTACATTTCAATTTTATTCATAATATTACATAAATACGCTTGTGTACAGGGAACTAAATGTATTTATACACTGCTCATAAATAAGTCCCCCTGTGAGTTGAAACTCGAAGAGTAGTTTTCACAATTGCTTCACGTGAGTAGATTGCTACTTTCAATAAATTCATGCCCTGACATGACACCGAATATTATAGAATAAGAAAAATATTTTTATAGAGAAGAAAATCCAAATAATAATTTATACATGCAAATACCACAATATCTTTAGTAGTAGTGTGTACCTGTGGGTGATGCTGGTCGAGTCCGGCGCGCTGCACGGCTTCCTGCGCCATGCTCTTCAGCGAGGCCGTGGCCGCGCCCGCGCTACTGCCACGCCCGCCTGTACTCGACGCTTCACTCACTCTACCACTACAAATACAACACCAACGAAACGTTTAATCAGATCGCACTATAGATACATAATGCAATGACAGCAAAAATTCAATCATTTCAAATCAATTGTGTATAACTTAGTTCAATTAAAATATAAATTAAATTAATATATATCCACATACAAAACTAAAGTGCCATAAGATATACACTTAGACATTCTCAATAACACAATAGTTATTTGAATCTGTAACTAAGAACTTTCTTCAAGTTTTTCAAAATCTATAATTTAATATTAATATTATTTTATAACAAACTAATTCATAAAAGCCCTGCCTACCCCAACAAAACAATCGCATTAGTATTAACGAGTTCCTAAAAGGATAAGTTCCTTAATAGAAATGTACCTTCTATTTTAGCTAGCCTAGTGAACTTGTGCTATCTGTAGTCTGACCTAGACCTACAGCCCATGACCTGATTATGAGAAACTGGATCATAAAGTGACCCCATTCCAGCCCTTGTAGAAATCGAAAGGACTAAAAGACGTTACGTTTATTCCAATGCCGTATTGATTTACTTAAAGAAGACGTGTGACGTTAAAGCATATGGATGGATAATTCTTTTCTTACTAATTAAGTAAAAAAAATAACAAAACTAAAAAAAAACACAGGATTGTCTGTGTTTTTTTTAGTTTTCAAAGAAAAAATTTCACAACATTGGCAAAGATATCAACATAATTTGAATGAAAATTTGACTCGAATAAACGTCATGGAATTTTTATTTTTATTTTTGCAAAATATATCACAAATGCATATAGGTACATAATAAAATCTACCCAGCTCAGACCCAGCTTAAAATCAGGATGTCAACAACGATTTCCTGGCAATTCTGCATTGGAGCATTCGTCGCTCGAATGCAACGAGATAGACCCATTATCCATTTACAATATAGATTCCCTTTATAGCCCGGAGGTCGTACCGACCTAGTTACAGCGCTCAGCGCTCAATCTGACATTTCAATCTGCGCGTTGTCCTGACATTCCCGACCTTAGACAAACTGCAACTGTCACGATTATTCTCGAATCACGACTGAGTTCTAGCTATATGTATGTAGTTTTATTTAATATTTATTAGTTTGGATGTTTGTGATGTAGTTGTATTGTGGGAACTAATTATATTTTTTCTACAGGTAATGAAGAAGTGTTTTAAATTATTTGTCTGTCTATGGCACTGTAGCACAGGTTCGAATGAACTGATTTGAGTGCGTGTTTTACTTGAAAGCAAGTTTTCACCGTGAATTCTAATCGATTTAAAGTTATTTTTATGACACCTTTTCTTACACAGTTTATGGTACAGTATACAACTTACTTGTTAGCAACATGTTGCGGCGTATGATGCGCCGGTTGGCTAGGCCCGTTGACGGTGAGGGGCGACGGCGCCGTTTCGCTCGCACTCGCACTTGAACCAAGTAGCGGCACTGACGAACTCTTTGACGTCTGCAAACGTATTGTAAGGAATTAGTTCATTCGAAAAATAAAAAAATACGTGTTTAAGTTATCATTGTGTAGTTTCTTTTTTTTTTATATTTATTAAACCATGTAAAGGGCGAAGATAGTCCAATTAAAGCATCTTAGGGATAGCTTAGTTTGTAATAAATAAACAAATCTTGAATAGAGAAAACATGTCATGTAGATACTTTGAAAATATTTTATGAAGAATTTGTTATTTTAACTCACAGGCGGTGGTTGCGTGGGCGCTGCTGCCGGTAGGTGTGTCGCTGTGTGCGCGGGGGTTGTCGACACCGGACCATTCTCCACTACTTCTGCAACCGAAATACCAACGTTTCATTACAATAACAACAAATATTGCAAGAAAAAATTGAATTTCTCATAGTTATTAGACACCAACCTAGACAAATTAATTGACAATGTTTCATACAGCTGGTAAACTTTAGTAATTTAAACGATCTATATAAAAGAGAGTCGTGTTAGTTACACTATTTATAACTCAAGAACGGCTGAAAATTGGTAGGAAGGTAGCTAAGAACTGCGAGAAGGACATAGGATAGGGTAGAGTAGGTAGGTAGGTAGGGCAGATAGTGAAGGTAGGTAACTAGGTAGTCAAATGACGGGAGCGAAGCCACGAGTGAGACCCAGTTAACTACTAATTAGTGTAATAATTATTTGCATGCCACACCATAAATGAAGTTTATCACGGGAGAGCATGAAATGAGTAGACGGGGCATCGTGAAACGTGAGCGGTTATCGATGTCGGCGGTGTTTACAAACAGACTCGCACGCAACGCGCGCACGTGGCGCTGACTCACGCCCGCACGACAACGTTATACATACGTAAGGGTACTACAACTAATCTAACAATAAAATTTACGATACACGACATACATTTAAACGTGGAAAGAAAATTATATTCTATAACCTCGTTCCTATCTAATAATAAATAATCCTTTACCCACCTGATTGCGTATTAACTTTTTTTATATTTATTTTAATGCTTTTTGAACAATAGTGGCACAATGGTGAAGTTAACGCCGAAGGCAATCATCTATACTAATATAATTAAATTATAAAGCTGAAGAATGTGCTAACGTAATATATTATTGTATAAAACTTAAGAGTAAATTCTCGAAAGAGTATAGAGAGAGGAAGACTTAAGTTTCCATACAAACACAAACTGGACAAACTGCTCAATTAAAAAATATTTCTACACCATGATCTTGCATGAATTTTATTAAAATCTGCTTAGCGGTTTTCATTATATTTGACTCGAGAGTTTGTGTGAAAAGCTGTGCATTGTAAAAGATATTAATTACTCCTAAATGCTCAGCTGTGATACTTTAACTGAAGCTTTAATTAAATAATGTTTTCAAAAGTACAACACTTGACATATGTAAATGGTAACTCTCTGAAATCTTTCAGACAATGAATGTACAAGAATTCTCTGACGCAATCGGCATTAACATCACAATGTAATACATAATCCCAACAGCTGTAGAGACACACACAATACAACTCGGTCAAATGCTAAATTGTATGTTTACAAACAAAATAATTATTAGCATTCAGATAATTCACAAACGTAGTTCGCGTGACTCAAAAGCATCGTGAACTCACAATTTCGGGGTCATCCGTAAATTGATGGAGTTTCAAGTTATGTTGTGTTTATGAAACAAATGCCACTCAGTGACTCACTTGTAGGTTCTTGTGAAATGAACAAGTATTCAATCTGTCAGTCTCGATATATGTATTTATTTATTAATTCATATTCAAAATTATTTACTGCAGGTAATGTGATAAAACATATTCAATATAGTACTCATGCTTTCAAGATTACTAAGCGAATTATAATTATATAAATAACAATTAAATATGTATATAAATAAGCCACCTTTGATATTACGGTTGCTTTAATTTGCTTAATATAATTTGCAATATAACTGCATATTACAGATTAAATACTTACCTTTTTCTGATTAGTCATTTATATTTATTTATTTATTGTAACGTAAAGCATTTATATTGCATTATATATACTTAGTCGGGTCATAAGTTCTGTCACAAACTTTTGATGTAATAACTTATACGCCTTTTGACAATTATTTAAAAATTATATATGAAATGAAAGGTCATTAAATGTACAATATAATTTTATTTACATTATTCGAAATGCCCTCCCCCATTTTGAACACATGCCCTTAATCTACGCGGCCAGTCATCGATCGCTGCACGCACCACATTCATATCTATGTCTGCCGCTGCTTTAACCAGAGATGCTCGGAGAGACTCCAAATTCGGGTGAGGTTTAGCACAGACTTTTTCCTCCAAATATTGCCATATCTTGTAGTCCAGTGGGTTTAAATCTGGACTAGAAGAGGGCCAGTCTTCATGCCGGATGAAGTCAATTCCACGAGCGATCAACCAGTCTTGCGTACTTCGTGCCTTATGAGCCGGTGCAGAGTCCTGTTGGAATATCCAATGCCTGTTCCTGAACATTGTCTGAGAAAGAGGTTCCACTATGTTTGTTAGGACAGTATTTTGATAAACTTCGGCACTAGTTCTCACACCTTTTTCACAGAAAAACACCTCAGTTACGCCTGAATATGAGACTCCAAGCCAAACCATGAATGAGGAAGGGTAATGCCCACGCTGGACCCTCGCAATACGCGCGCTTGCTTCTTCACTGCTGTGGGCATACACCTTATCATTTTGTTTGTTAAAACTTTCTTCAATAGTAAAAATTTTTTCATCCGAAAAAAGAATTTCGCGGTATTTTTTTCCCGCGTACCGTCGTAGCAAAGCGCGGGATCTGTCTAGCCTAATTTTTTTTAAACGCTCGTTCAAAAAATGTCCTGTCTTTTTACGATAAGCTCGTAGTCCCAGGTCTTCATTTAGTACTCTTTTAACAGTGGTTCTGCTTAGCCCCATCTGCAGAGCTAGGATTTTTTGTTTACGTACGGGATTTCGTTCGATTCGCGCCTTCACTGCTTTGATGACCTTATGTGTCCGAACTGTGCGAGGTCGGCCGCTTCTCTTACGATCTTCGAAGCTTGACTCTTCGGTGTATCGTTTGATAGTACGATAAACAAACCGTAACGTTATTTTCAAATTTTGAAGAATATTGAAAATGTCTTTTGGCGCGTAACCACAGCGGTGCAACGCGATAACCGCGATTCTGTCTTCTTTATTCGACCACTCCATATTTAAAAATGAATAAAAAATAATTTCTTTTTTATTTTCTACAAGCGCGAAAGTTCTATTTTTAAAATAAGTCGAAGAATTTCTGGCCAGTAATCGAAAATTAAAAATATAAGGTTTTGACAGAACTTATGACCCGACTAAGTATATATATCAATTTCAAACATATACAACCTTGACACCTTAATTACTTTCTAACTCTTAATATTTCTAGTATTTCTTTGGACAATTACTTAATTGTAGTAAAAAATGCAAGTCGATGGTCAATTGGCCGTAGAGATCACATACAAGCTTCATACTACAAATAAGGGTAATTAATAATGAGGGAGGCCGGCGATCGATAGCCTGCTGACCTACTTTGTATTGTTACTTCTAGCTAAAGCAAACTCACTATTACAGGTAACGAGGAATTAACTCAGTTTTATGTAAGGGGAAAATCATCAATTGACTTCTCCCGTGCAGGGTAAAACACCCGTCACCCGGCCGGCTGAGAGAGAGATTTTTTTCGCAGATGCTATTTCGCCAATATTTAAATATCATAATGTAGGTTATAGAACATTGAGTCGCTAATAAAAATTATTGCATTTGCAACGAAAAACTGCCCCGTTATTGGGACAAAGACGTTAAGAATTCGTGTCATATTATTTTTGTGTAAACATGTTTAGAGAGAGCGTGATTCATTAAAAAATGTCGGTCTCATTTCTGACGCATTGCACCGGCCAATCAAAACAAAGGCATTGTGAAAAAATAACTTACTATACTAGAAGTAAGCAATATTAATACTCAACAGCTAGTAGGGACATTTTAAAGGCGTTTAGGTCGCAGAAAAACGAATAAAACATACATATAACATTTGTTAATTTTGTTAAAATAAAGCCAAACTAATCAAAAAGTAAGTAATACTAAAGTTAAGCACGAAATATGTTTTCCAATAAGAGTTCCAGTGAAATAAAAAACTGTATACTAATAATGAAATATTAATTTATAAGTCGTATTAAACAAGCAATGTTTAATAACACGCGTTGGATTGCAATGCCAACTCTACAAGATTCGAAACGTAGAAAATTTGACGTTACTGATACAACTGTCAAAATGCAAACAACACAGACCGCTGTTATGATTTCATTCTATGTTTTCGCTATTCTGTGTCTAGATATACGATCTACGGTGCTAAGCAATCTAAGATTTCTAATCTTTATAGCTATCGTTTATAACAATCTAGCTAACTTGTAAAAAGCTGACGTGGCTCATAGCCCGGGCCACCGCTCACCTCGCAACAAAAACCGTCATGAAGACCGAAACAATACAAGTTACCCACACACCAACAACACACCATGACAAAAACATTATGTAACTGCCGCTGAAGTTCACAGAAACCACACAAAACATGAAACTACGCAGTTATAGCGGCTTTACTTGAGGCCGCCGCCGACCCTGCCCGCCACGACACATGCACACACAACACACCCCACACAAAATCTTTACCATCGTCCATAGTTTTATCGTACATTCGCGCGGGAAACCATTGTTATTATGCTTTCTTAATTATTTCTAAAGTTAGGCACAGGTCTCGTCCGATACAGCCTAGCGACTGAACCGACGCTCTCGCCATGTCATCGCTCTGGCTTACCGCCAGTTTTGAGCAAATTTTACGAATATTGGCGGAATGCCAATGTGCGATTAATCGTTTTCGTAATGAGTTGGTCGGTCGCCGTGTTCCATTCATTCGCGTCGATAAACGTTTTGTTTATTTTGTAAACAATGGAAGCGTACGTTATCGCGTTTAGTTGTAATGATAACGTGTGTTTTTAATTATGCGTGGTTTGTGTATATTGTGTTGTTATCGTTAGTGGAGGAAGTCGCACGGTGTTGGGGCGGTTAGATTATTGTAGCCGCAGTTGGAACTTGCGGTTACAGTATGGGAATATCCGCCATAATTAATCTGCAGTTATTTAATTTGGCGGCGGTGGCGTGTGGAAACATTTATGTTTAAAGATGCGGAGTGGACAGCAAAGGGCTATTTCTGTATACCGGCTGACAATCAATGAAATATATTTGCCAAGTTCTGTTGTCAGTCGTTTGTTGCTGTGTGGGTACTTCCTCGTTTACGGTGAATTAAATTTTCTGCCAATTCTTTAAATAAATACCTAAAGGAAAATTTTGAAGGAAGGTAAATACTAAACTATATACTTATTAAAACTATTCACATGAATGAATACAGATAAAGTAATTATCTGATGCCATGATCTGCAATAACATCAGGGGTACATAATTATTTCAATATTTCAAGGGCACGGTGCCTTACTATTCAGTAAAATGGACATTTTGCCTAAATAATAATTTCATGACTAATTTCGAGCGATTTCATTACTAATTTACGCAGCTGTATGAACATTACCAAAATTTTCAAAACAATGTGTTAGAACCAAAAACACTGTCTAAACTTAGCATAGTTAAAATCTGGGCATATCTTGCAATAAGAAACTACAATAAGTTTCCAAAAACCAAACATAACACAATTCGCGGAAACAAGTGAGGGTACTGACCTGTGGAGGTGTTGGCGCAGTTGGTGGTGGCGTGCCTCGTGTGGTGGTGCGGCGGCGAGCTGGGCGGCGCCTTGCTGGGCGTGCTGCAGCTGGACGCGGCCGGGCCCGCGCCCGCGCCCGCCGCCGCCGCGCCCGTCGCGCCGCCCGTGCTGTTGCTTATACTGCACATACACGCACCGCTCAGCTCATGCGGGCTCGCGCGCGCCCCGCCACCCACATCCCTTCTATCTCAACGCACATCTAATGCACCCTACACTACCACCTCGCTATCTAAATTTGCCAACGGGAAGTTGCAACTCGCTAGGACCGAGCGCTCGTTAACAATAAAGTCACCTCGAACGATCCCGACGCACAAAGTAGACCACTTGTTGCGTTCTATTCAATCACAGTTACCGACTAATTTTATATAGGTACCTAGCTACATATACCTGTGTAGTTACAGCCCTACATAACTCTCAATCTAAGTGTAAATCAATAACATCACGTTTACTTCGACACTAAACACGAGGAAAGTGAAAACCGAACATCTCTCGACGTCCTTGAAAACTCCCGGCACTTGTTGACGGTCTCACAACATTTTCATGTTTACTAACACTGCACAAACTGTTCGAGCGCACGAAACACGCGAATTCAACAATAAGGAATGCCAACATCGAAGGAAACTCTTATCACAAGTGTAAACGTGCGTCCGATACTGCTAAGTCACTTACACTATCTTTTATAAATAGAATCTCATAAAATCAATAACGACATGTATAAATTATGAGTATGCACATCTAGCGCTTGTCAACTAGTGGACTTTGGAACGTATTGCTTGCATCGCAGAGATCACTGTGCAATGCAGCCTGCGTCACGACTACGTCTGCTAGATATTTCATTGAGATTTGAAGAGATGTCGCTAACTGCCTTTTACAATAAGCTTATGGGTTACGTTTGGCGGCAATTTTGTACAGGCACAGATTTAGAAGTGCCAACTTAATGCAAAGTGTACTAAATAACAGTATAGTGTAATTGAGAGCAAAGCTGTTTACAACTAAAACTCCGCTTGACAAACATAACGTCATAAGCGTATTGTACAAAATAGCAATAATACAAATAGTCTAATAAAAAAATAAATTTTATGATAATTATTCTAGAATGAGCTGAATCATGCGCGCAACGAAATGAGAACAAAAAAAATACTCAAAGGCCAGTTCGTTTTTGTATTCTCATTTTTGTGTGAATTTTATTTTTTTTATCTACATATTCAAGTGTGCAGGACAATTATTTCAATGAGAGACTTTAAGCCATGCATTATAATGAGTCGCTACACATAGCAACTGATGTGCTGATATAAGACAATGGAATAAAAATGTTAAATAAGATTTAGGGAGGTCTTTGGCCAAGAAAATAATTTCTGAAAACACTTATTGTCATTCCCTTTAATATTAAACTATCTTACCCGGCAAACTTTGCTTTGTCATATAAATTACTTCGAATAAAAATGTTAAGCTGCTCACCCGTATCACTTAGGGGTATGAAAATATCCAGTAACCGATTCTCAGTCATACTGAATAAGCATATGATAAATAATGGTAATATTTTATTTATTACTTTCTTCTTCTGGCCGTGTCCTGCAGTTGTTGAGATTTGTACTAGCAACTTACCGATAGTTTTTATACCTAATTCATATTCTGTTAACCTCTCAGAACATTGAACGTTACCCGAAATAATAATTATGATACAAGTAACTAGCTAAGCCGAACTATGCACAACATTGGATCAAAAAAAGATTTTACGACCTCAATATTTTACCACACAAAATTATACGACTACATTTTCCTAATTTTCAGCGGAAAACGTATGAACATATATATATATATAACACAACGTATGTATTTTTACCCGACTTCGGAAAGCAAAAGAGGGTTATGATTTTGACAGGCTATTTTAAGTAATTGTGATAAAATATTGAGTTATAGAAGCTTGGAATGGTCTTAGTAAACGGTCTCTCATTGAAACAGTCCTGAATATGTGGGTAAATGGCAATAAAGGTGGTAATAAATAGACTTGTGTCAGTGGACTGACCTATTGGTGGATGCTGCGGAGTTATTGAGCAAGGAACTAACGTTACACGTGCTGTTACTGACCGCGCCCGCGTTACCCGCGCGCAGCGGCAGCGGTTTTACCGGCTGCAATGCAAACGCAAATATATCACACATTATTTTACACAAACTCGCTCCAGATTGGTTTTGGGTTCCCTCTAACTGCTATACTAGGGATATTTCTTGTCTTAGAGATTATGGAAACATTTATGTTTTGTCAAAGTTACATTTTTCAAGGGAAAGAAATAAGTTTAACATTACTTATTTGAAAAACTTTGACAGAATAGACAATTAAAGTCTTGTTTTAACTTGAAATGGATATTATAAGATTAAAATATTGGAAAAAGCACTTACCAAGTTTGAATGTATTGTCGGCGAAAAAGACAAATCGCACACCTAGAACAAAAAGGGCGTAAGTGAGCACACCAACTCTATATAGCGGCGAGACAGTATAAGGACATTCGGTATACATTAAAATACAGCATGCATCGCTTTGGTACATTTTGGTGTTTAAAAATACGCCCATGTTGTTCTAGATATGATAAAACTTTAGTTAGTTAGGTATATTACACAATATATTTGTGAAAGATATATTTTTTATTTGTAATTATATTATTACTACTTCGACCTTCGATCGCAAGTATAATCTACTTGATAGACAAACATGGACACGACAAAGGAGCCAAGTAATCCTATTAAAGTTTACATGAAAAACCATTTTGATTAACGTGTAACTTTTAGTGAGAACTGATGTTACGAATGAGCGATATCATCGGAAGATTCGACGTACTACTAAGATTCGATATCTTCGAAAATTAGTGGTGGACATTCGTTAATTTATTTAGAACCCAAAACTAATCGTACATAAGTATCAATTTGGAAAATCCACATCAAAACTCCACGTAGCAGTACAAGAGACAAGATAATGGATAATAAATATATGTGTAATGGTATGAGGTAGGGGTGTACGTGTCTATACTCACTTTGGTTATGATCTCTTCTTTTTTCTTTTTTTCGACGTCTATGGAATCTGTTGAGTGATTGTGTACCTCTAACGTTGGTGATGTTACTGGACTTGTACCTGGAAATAAGGATATGCTTTTTAATAAACTTTTTACGCTACACACTCCAAGATTTTAGGGTAAATTTGTATTTCAAATTGGTGATTTCTATGTATCAATGAATGGCAATGAGAAAACAATTCACAATATAGTAGAAATTTATTTTTAAGTGGTAAACAATTATTGTAAACACTACATGCTTGCATAAATTACAGTCAGAAGCGCGACCTCGCCGCTATGAGGTCGCTCTTAATGATTAGGAATCCCAATGCTACTTAAAACTAGTAGAGCTTTTTCAGCAAATTCACACGAGTAAGTGGTTATTTTCAATAAAACAGGTATGTCTCACGGAAGTGCAAATCATTGTATTATTAGTATAAGTAACTAAGAAATAATATGTTTTACAGTATTATGATAAAATGCGTCAATACTTTGAGTTAGTCACCCTTTATCCATAGGAAATGATTGCTTTGATTAATGCTTTGTTAGAAATTGGCTTCGTCACGTCACCCGCACGCATAGGGTCGCAGTAGGTTAGAAGCATGGAAAACATTAATATTATTAGTTTTTCGTTAGAGATGTATGATGGAAGGTACCTGAGAGCATGCTAGTGGGAGATCCTGCGGAGTCGTTGCTGTTATTGCTGTCGGTGGTGGCGGAGGAGGGCAGGCCGACGCCGCTGAGCTCGATGTCGTCGAGGCCGCGGATGTCGTCGTATATGTACTCGTTCTCCTCGAAGCCCGGCTCCAGCGACGAGTCAATGTAGTATTCCACGTCGTCCTTTATCCTTTTTATCTGCAATATAACATGCACCTGCTTAGACTTGAGAAAGATTGTCTTTAAGCAACATTACGTACATATTTACAAATATATAACAAATCAATCTATACTAATATTATAAAGAGGTAAAATTTGTAAGTTTGTATGTAGGGGGTATTATTTGGAACCGCTGACCGGATTTCCAAAATTCTTTCATTGATAGATAGCTACAATATTCCTGAGTGCTATAGGCTATAAAACATCACGCTATGATCTGTAGGAGCCGAGCAGCGGGTGAAACCGCGCGAGAGTACCTAGTATAAAATATTATTAGATACAGTTCCTATAGTAAAAATGTCTTTAATAAAGATATATCCAAAGAAACAACGATGTATACACGGATTTATCCAACGGCGCAAGCGCATATAAAACCTAGCTCTCTATGGAGATAAAAACTTAAATACTTCATAAAACTGCGATCAACTAAGGAATGAGAAGTAGCACAATTTAAACTATCAGTGACTTAACTGAAAGACTTCTAAACTGCAAAGATTGGGGATTTTCGCACATACTCTTCTCAAAAGAGAGGCTTTTATTTAAAGATGGCGATTGGGCTTATGAGTATATACAGATAGTCAACCCATGGCATTTAAGATAAAAGCAACTGAATAATTGAATATAGTGATATACAGATATAAAACGTATACTGCTGAACAGTTTCGAAACTTCCAGAGTTAACTAATTGCTTAAAATAATAAATATAAATTAAATTTTACTACCAACCTGTTCTACTTCAACGGACATGTTGTCAAGCATTCTGAGGAGTGTCTCTAGCTTCTTTATATGGAACCTGTGCTTCTCCAGCTTCAGTTTCAGCTCCTCCATTCGATCCTGTTTCTCTTTGTCCAACCGTTTCTTCTTACCCACTAGCAGTGACTCTATTTCAGACTCAAATTGATCAACCTGCAATTATTAACACACAATTACTATCGTGACACTGGTAATGTTTCCGCACAGCTACCATTTATCATTTTCGAACATTGACATGACAGACATACAAATAGGATGTTTCCTCAGTCAAAAACATCTTTCTTTTTAACATTTGTAATGAAAAAGTATTGAATTTGACAAGTTGGAAACATCATGTTATAAAAATACTTGTATAATATAATCACATGTAACTTTTTGACCACTACATATTTGTTTTGATGAAAGCAGCACAGGTATTAGACATTCAGAAGAGTTAATGAACAAAGAATGCTATCTGATGGAATGTCCCCCGGTAATAGTATGGCGTTCAAGACAAATTTTCGATTGTTATCTGCATGATATTGGGGTGGTCAATGGCTGAAATGTAAAAACCTTCGAGGCATTCAATTATTGGGTTTTTCGAATTCCGAATTCCGGCTTGCTTACATAACTGGCAAATGTTACATTTACACACATGTATATGATATACCCCTGCCTGCGCCCTCAGGGAACAAAAGACGTGATGATGTTATGTAAAGAGTCACATTGAATATAGCACTACATAACACTGATAATAAAGCGGAAACTGGCCAGCCTGGTTTAGGAAGTGCACATCGCATTCAATGTTACCAAAGGCAAAGCAATATTTTGGACGACAACACTGATGAACTTAAGCTTTCTACAGAGAGTCTCACTGGTGTCAAGTCTGATCGATGAGGATTGGTGTGACAGCTGTTTTATGAGGAGAAGTGACAGTCATTGGATAGTCATCGTAAAAGCATACTAATGTTTTAGTTTTGGGAAAATGAAATATTTCATTTGACACTTAGATAGGAAAGTAACTACCTCATCTGCCACAGACCATAACAGTGATAGGAACAATCTCACAGCTATCGTAACACCAATTACATCGATCTACGCTAAAGATTGCCAGGAATTGTCAAACAAATGAATTGAAAATTGGCATAATTGTTTGACAATCCCGCAAACGTTAACTAGACTACACACCAGTTTCAATTGGCGCGCGATGCTGCTACGTGGACTCGAGCGAGAACCGATGACCCCGCGACATTTGGTTGGCCCGGCGGCATACGACCGAGTAGTCGCGAAGCCGCCGGCGCCGAAACGTTGCGGCACGTAGCGTTGCACCGATAAACAGATTTTCAGATAAACGATTTCTACATCACATCACCGTGAAAATCTGTCTATTCGGCAAACTTAAATTTTGAAGAAGACAATCGGTAATTGGTGTACAGCATTTATATTTATTCAATACAAGGGACTTCTGAAGGTGGGGGATTTACGACAAGCTATGCTCATTTTACTAGCACTACACCTTATTGCGGATCAAGGATATGTCAGGCAGTGCTCTGTGGCAGCACACTATCGCACTTTCCTGTCTCTTGATCGTTCATAGGCAACTGGGTGTATTTTGCTTGTAATAGCATGCGAATCTGTCAAATCACGCACCGATAGAAGCTATCCAGAACATTATTTGCAAAGCAGATTTATACATAATTTGTTATTCTTCTACCCAGAATGACAATTAAAGTGTGAGGCCGATTTTACAATCTGCCTGCATGTGACTCCAGGATTTGAAGCAAGTATCGATATGATCGTTACGATGCTAAGTGAGCTCTTTGACTATGCTCGATACCTACTTTAAGCTATTGTTCAAGCTAATCGATACTTCATTCAATATAATTTTACTTTCCCTATTTTATTTACAAATTATGCACACCATGCGCCCGAAATTTATAGCCAATCCTAATCAAAATTTTGACATTTAAATTGATTCGTTTCACAAATTGCCAATTGCCAATCTATTCGTTCAACTTGTCTCTAATTAAGAGGACAAATCATAGAGTTAAGATTGGAAGATCGGGATTGAGATTCAATATTAATTTCGGGCTCTAGCGGGTCAAATCAAGGTAATAATGGTTACATCGGCATTAGTGACTGTGTAGGTATATTGTTAGTTAAGTTAATATTGTCATCTAGTTCTAAGTCTATTGGATTCCTAGGTGTGCATTACGCAAGCCAACAATACCTCGCCAATATAATGCTTTAACGATATTGTTAGTCGCGTTTGCCGCGCCCCGTAAGCACTTACTTGTAAATTAAGTGCGTCGATGGATGAGACGAGCCACGAAGACATTTCCTCCCGCTCCTTCTGCGCAGGGTCCAGCTTTTGCGCCGCACCCAGCCCTTCCTTGGAATACGCCTTCGTTTTCGTCTCTCGCTCTACTACTTTAAACCTTTCCATTTGCTGAAAACAAAGAAAACATATAATTACTAAAGATTTATACTATAAACACGTTTTACTTTAAAATCTATGTTGCTGACATCCTAAATTGAAGATGCAAGTTCATTGTGTTGGGTGATATTCTTAGCAAACTCAATTATTTTTTTTATATTCTATGGGAATTTGGATGTGTCGATGTTATTACCGTCAGTATAATTAAAATAATTGCACATATAATTTTTTTTTCCAATATCTATGGTTTTGAAAAAAAAAAATTGAATTATATATATTCTTAATATGATATATCTTGAATGTATTATGGACTGAGTCCTCAACCCAGTTTTTTTGTACCTTAATACGTATGTAATATGTTTTGTTAATTATAACATACATCCAGCACTCAAAACAAATGCCTCTTTCATACGAGAAAGACCATCTTTCTTGTAAATTTGAATCTTCAAAAAATTATCAACATTTCAATATAAAATACACACAGTGCCGTATATATACTAACTCAGCCACTTAAAAAAAATACTAATATGAATTAAATTAATATATAACCTTTGTAATCTCAACAATGATATAAATAAACTAGTCTTCACTATCATGTTTAGGTACCTAATGAACTCAGTCTGCATTTTTACCTTTGGCATATGAGTTTTTATTATTTATTTTGGAAACAAAGATCAACTTGGTAATACTTTACTTCATAATCAAGAAAAAGTTGTATATTACGGATAACACAAATTGACTATAAAATTCTATATTAATAACAATAAAAGGTTTTAGTAATGCTTATTACAACTATTGGAATTTTATTAAAGGATTATTTTTGGACTTGTTTTCATTTTCATTTATGATGCCACCTAACAGGTCTCTTTGTGAACCCAAATGCAATTTAGAACCTGCTTATACTATATCCAAAGTTTCATCAATATCAGTACAGAGGTTTAGGAGTTCAATGACACAAACATACAGAGATTATGAAACATTCGAGTTTCTTGCACTGAAGACAGAATGTTAACTCTGAATTTAAATCACTTTATCTGTGCCACATATGTATCTAATACATAAGAAATTGCTTACAGGATTACAAGCACTGTGTTTTGATAACTTTACGATTTATAGGCCTGGTTTTGAAAAATTTTGAATAGGCTGCAAAATTTTGATTAGTGTGTGAAAATAATGTTGAATTAAATCAATTTAAACTGTTCTAAATAAAATATATATTTGATTCATCACTTAGCAATAAGCAATTGTTTTGAACTAATTTCAGTTAAAAATAAATAATGATTAGCTTTCAATATGACATTCATGATTCATTGTTAATTAATAGCTTGTTTTTAAACAGTCTTTATCAAATGAATTTGACAGCATATTAAATATTATTTATCAAATCAGATAACCGATTCAAATAATCACTATATTTTATAAAATAAAGTCACTTTTTCTGTCCATTTATCCTTATTGCTTAGATCTTTAACTACCTTACGGATTTTGTTGATGCGGTCGCTTAATAGATAGGAGTGATTGAAGAGGAAGATTTATATGTATAATCCTTATAACATCCATTTAATGGTGGAGAAATTAAGTATCATCTTTGCACCCTTGCATAGCTGGGGTAGATCACTAGATGATAATAATCACAAAGGATATTATTAAAAAAGTTTTTATAACTTTGATTTGATGTGGACATGAAGACACTGCTTGTTCTTAAGTGAAATTATGAAATGCATATTTATCTCACTGATAAGGTTGTGTCACTAGTCATAAGATTGATCAGGCACTCATGTTATTACAAAACTTGGGGGTGTGTCATACACTGCATTATCTTAATGTTGAAATACAATTTAATAATTACAGCTACTACTATATAGAAGCTTGATTCTTTATTCTTATTCAGGTAAGTACTTAATAAAGTAAGTAGCATTACCAAAGCGCACAAGTTTTTAACAGTTCATTGGGCAAGTGGATACTTATTGAATTGTTTAATTTTAATTTACTAATTGCATAGCAAGGTTTCTGATGTTATTTGGTATGCATACATATGACAGTGCAATTAGGTATTTGAAGTAGAAAAACAAAGTGATTTGTATCCAGACAGAATCAATTGGAAACATTGCAAAAACATACATCTAATTGAACTGATGTGGAAGAAGTTGTTCAATAAACATTATTCAAGCAGTTTAAAACTTTCTTGATCGCTTTGTTGTATATTTATTAAAAGCATATTTGCTTCTCTTTATAATACCAGTGCCAGTGTAATGTGTAGTTGGGAGAACATATTTCTGTTAACGTGAATATTCATTAAAGATGTGTAAGTGAGCCCTCTCATATTTATAACATTCTTGAGACGGTATCAAATAGTTGTTGGGATAAAATCTCATATTCTAGAATAGCTCTCAGTGCAATTTGAAAATATTAAGCACACAGGGTTCAAATGGTTAAATTTCAATGAAATTGACAAAGCTTGGATCAAAATATATGAACACCAAGCTTTGTTAATTGGTTAATTTCACTTCTAAAGGAGTTTCTTGTTCATTGTTATCCATTCAAATCTACATTTTAAAACCTAAAACCTAATGTCACTGACAAACAGGCTGCTGGCCAGTGTAGATCAAGCATACTTAATCCTTGTTCAAAATGTTACATCGGAAATAACTATTATAAACACCAATCCAATCAGTTTCTAGCCATTAAGATGGTAGTTGGTATAATTTCTAAATAGCACTGGTATGAGAATAATGAAAGACAGTAGCAATCTATGTCTGAAATTTCTTTTGAATGAGATTCCAATAGTATTAACTGCAGAATACTTCAGGGCAAACTTTTTATGATAACTTGAATTAAAATAAATGTAGTTAGAAGGTTTAATTCATTAATTAATAGTACTGTACAATATGTAGTAGGTATATGTATCATATTTTAAATTAAAGACATATTAGTGACATCGAAGGTAGATTAAAATTTAGAATTTGGTCAGTAGAATGCTTTAAGTTTCTAAAAATTTCTTAACACATATGCTGTGATGGTTGTAGATTAAGTACTTTTATCTGGTTTACATGACAGATGTTATTTTTTATAACTTATAATGGGTTGAGGGTAGACAATAATTCACTAAGAATGCTATAAGATTTGATCCTCTTAGATAACCTAATTAGAATATGTTGAATATAGATAATAATATTATTATTATTGTATTAAATATTTGTTGTTGCACATATGGCAACAGAGTATGAGCATACAACTGTTTGACATTGCTTTTAATATCAATAAGAGTACTTTTGATAACAAAGTTCATACATAATAGACATTAACTCTACTCAAACATAGCCCGGAGTCCACTCACAATCTGTGTCAGGTTAACTAGTGTGCAGTAAATAACAACAAACAATACTCACTGTTTCTATTAGTTTCCTATATTCTAAAAGTGTACTCTTATCCTTAATCTCCCCGGAGGCGATCCACGACTTGATCTGATCCCGTAGCCTCTGAAGCTTCTTGATCTCCTTCTTGAGGTCTGCTTCATACTTCTCCTTTTGGTTACTGTTCGTCGCATTGTGAACCTTCTGCCAGATGTCATCAAATGTCTCGACTCCTTCTGTTACCTTTTTTAAACACCTGTCTATTTCACCTGTAAACCACATCATTGCATTAATGCAAGAAACCTGTTTCATTATCGCGTCACTTAAAAACAATACGGTGGATCGAGATTTTCACATTAATATTGGGGGTAGGCCAGATAAAGATCGCCTGCTTGTCTATGTTGATAGTTCACAACAATAAAATCGTGGCTGTAGTACTACTATCGTAAGAAACGCGGCAGTTTGTCAAGTTTTACCGACCACCTGTACGCATAGCGCTCTGTACGCGTGTAACCATCACACGTTTCACATATTCTGCTTGCCACCGCTGGCTCCAGTATGCCAGAGGTCTCATCAATTGACAATAATGCTCTAGAACACGTACCTACATCGGTTGGGGTCAATCAATCTCTAACCTGATAACATAATAAATTACCTTGTAATTTCCTTGTCGCAGCCATAGCTATTTACACATATGGACGAACGTTCCGTACATATCCTAAACATACAAACTATTTACAAGAAAATGCACAAAAATTATTGATAAACAGACAAACTACACATCTGAAGCTTTGTTCGATTCCAAGATGGCTACCGTACACCGCTCGAAGTATAGTGACGGAACGCATCCAGGCTAACCACCACAGTGAAATCTTGCCCCGCGCCTGGAATGGTAATTAGCACGGAGCTTTCATAAATAATTATGAATTATAAGTTGTCACAAATAACAACAAACTTCAAATTTTCCACAAAATGATTTTAGGTACGTCGCGTAGACCATCAAGAGCGCAGGCGCAAAATAATAGAGCAAGGCATAGACAAAATAGCAGGTAATGAATAAATAGGATTCTGCTCTAAACTTCTCTTTTATGAATGAAATATATTGTAAAAAGTATACATTGAACATAATAAATATCTAGTTAATTGATGAAATCAAATTTTATACATTGAAAAAAATACTTTAGTTATTGTAATATTAATCGTAAACGAAAACAATTAGTCCTTGTCTATGGTTTACTTTCAAAAAATACTCGCTAGATGGCAGCATAGGTAACTACGCAGTTCTGCTATCGGCCATTAGATGGCGCACACTTTAAAAGAATATTCTTGTTTGTTGCTGCCTGCATTTTGAGATTCACGTGGCGATTTCAAAATATCTCTTTATCTTATAACTTATGTACTTATTTGGTAAAATATTACTCATTCGCGGTATAAACAGGCAGTATACTCATCATGACAGGAATGTGGTCAACCATTTACATCATACCAAACATTTCCTATGAAAGCTAATTAAGTAATATCGTAGCCGTAGCCATGTAAAGGTACTTTATGTACTCAACCGAGTGTTTATGTAATCAACCTACTGAATTAGCACTACGTTGATCCATACGTATTATATGTAGTCATCATTTATGTATATTTATATTCTTCATAAAATTATTGCAAATTTTAATGAATGTGTCATTCAAGACGCAGCATCGTAACAATAACTTATGAAGAGTTTCAAACAACACGTTAATGGGCCATTAATTGTTATATTATGGATTTGATAGCTCCTTTAACGACACAAGACGTCGTAAACTAGTTGTTGTATCTGTTTATTCTCTCTGACCGATTTACATACCTACTGAAAGTTTAATGCATGACGTCACGAGGCCTACTGATACGTAAAAATCTGATAAAATCAGCTACAAAATAGGTTCTCAAATTTATTAACTTTCGTTAGGTTAACTGTAAAAGAGTTTGTTTGTTATTCAAACAATTAGGTATTCTACTGGGAATTCGTTAACGGATTAGAGCATTGTAGTCAGTCATGTGATTTACAGATTTTTATACTTTTCCCGGCTATAGTTAAGTAAGTGATTAATTATTTACCTTTGGCAGTTTTTGACTACTGTCGAATCTCTCGCTTAGACGTAGTGCGTAAATACTTTTTACAGACCATGCTTTAATACAACTACCTAATTATCGTCACCTACCTTCTATATAATAGGTACCTATTAACTTACCTATTGACTTCGTTATTCATCTTCCTGCCCTTGTCCCGTTTTATTTGGGGTCGGCGCAATATGTTTTTTTTCTTCCATTCTGTCCTGTCATTCGTCACGCTATCGCTAACTCCTCTGTCTTCCATATCACTTCTCACACAATCCATCCATATTTTCTTTGGTCTCCCCCTGCCTCTCCATCCATCCACATTTATACTCATGACTTTTTTTGTAACATGCTTTTCATCCCTCCTTTTCACATGGCCATACCAAGACAAACGGTTCCCTTTCAACTTTTCAGTCACTGGCGCCACTTTCAAACTTCCTCTAATATACTCATTTCTCACTTTATCCAATCTCGTCACACCACACATCCATCTCAGCATTCTCATCTCTGCTACATGCAATCGCTTTTCATCCGTCTTTTTCAGAGCCCAACATTCTGACCCATACAGTAGGACAGGCCTTATCACTGACTTGTAGATTTTACCCTTCAACCTGAGGGGCATCCGTGGGTCGCAAGTTGTTCCAGTGAGTCGCCATTTCATCCATCCTGAGTTGATCCGATGTGCCACGTCTCGGTCTATCTCACCATTTCCTTGGATAAGCGAGCCAAGGTACCGAAAATCAGAACAGGTTGGTATGGGCGTTCCGGCGAGAGCTATGGGCACAGAACTAGAGAGACCGCCAAAATCGCAGAACAAGTACTCTGTTTTAGTTCTGCTCAATTTTAGGCCAACACTCTCCAGTCTTTGCCACCACACCTCCAATCTGCTCTGGACCTCTAGGGCACTCTCGGCAACCAGCACAATATCATCGGCAAACAGCATACACCAGGGAGCCTCTTCCTGAATGTCCGACGTCAGAGCGTCCATTATTATCAGGAAGAGGTAAGGGCTGAGAGCCGACCCTTGGTGTAAACCGACAGCCACATTGAACTTGCTAGTGGTGCCCGCTGCAGACCGGACTTGTGTACTGCAGCGACTATACATTGATCGGATCAACTGCACATACTTCCCAGGCACACCTTTCTCCTTAAGGGCCCACCACAGAACCTCACGAGGTACCCGGTCGTATGCCTTTTCGAGGTCGACGAATACCATGTGCAAGTTTTTATGTGCACCTCTGTATTTTTCGCACAACTGGCGTATAGCAAATATGGCATCCGCTGTACTACGACCAGGCATAAAACCGAATTGGTTCTGTGAAATGTCACTCTCTTCTCTCAGCCGCCGTTCAATAACTTTCTCCCATACTTTCATGGTATGCGACATTAGCTTTATTCCTCTATAATTGTTGCACTCGAGGACATCACCTTTGTTTTTAAAGATGGGCACCAAAGAACTGTTGCACCATTCATCAGGTATGGTTTCTTCCCGCAACAATTTATTGAAGAACAAAGCCAACCACACCCATCCGTCTACTCTTAATAACTTCCACACCTCAACTGGTATTCCATCTGGGCCAATGGCTTTACCATTTTTCATTCCGTTCACTGCTACTCTGACTTCCTCCATACTAACCATTCTCACTAACCCCACATTCACTGGTTTACTCTCTAAAACCCCACTCCAATTATTTTCCTCATTCATAAGTCTTTCAAAATATTCCTTCCACCTCTCTTTGATTTTGTCATTATCCGATAAAACCATTCCACTTTCATCTCTTACACATCTTACCTGGCAAACATCCCTCGCCTTTCTTTCCCTCATTTTAGAGAGCCGGTACAGCTCTTTTTGGCCTGCAGGACTGTCTAATGTATCATATAGTTTGTCCTGGGCTTTTGCTTTTGCTATTGCTACGGCTTTCTTTGCTTTTTTCTTTAAAGCATCTTACTCACTCTTTCTTTCAGCTTTCAAACTAACATTATCTGTTTGTACGCACTGCCATTCCTTGAATTTTTTCTTCTTTTCTTTCAATACATTCTGAACTCCTGTCGACCACCACCATGTATCTCTATCTATTCTGCCCTTTCCTTTCGTCTCTCCCAAAATATCTCTCGCTGCTTGCCTTATACACTCAGCCATCTCATTCCAGCTTTCATTTATACTTCGATCATTCATGTCTCCTATCTCTATCATTCTATCCACCACCCGCTCTCTGAACTTCTTCGCGCAGTCATTCCTCTCTAGCCTGTGCCATTTTATTCTAGGGGGCGGGCGCTCTTTGGTTTTCCTACAATGTATTTGAACCACTGATGTCATAACCAGGAGTCTGTGTTGTGAGACTAAGTCTTCTCCTGGCAGCACTTTGCAATCCATCACATACTTTAAGTGGTTGCGCCGAACTAGAAAGTAATCTATTTGCGTCTTATGATTACCACTTTTATACGTGGCCAGGTGTTCATCTTTTTTCTGAAACCACGTATTGGCTACTGCTAGATCAAATGCAGTAGCGGATTGCAACAGTGTCTCTCCTTCATTGTTTGGATTTCCGAAACCCCATCCGCCATGTACTCTTTCAAACATACCTCTCATTCTTCCCACATGTCCATTAAAATCACCTCCCACTATCAACTCCTCATGTACAGGGATGTTCATTAAGGCCGTATCAAAATCCTCCCAAAACTTCTCTTTCACCGTTTCATTACATCCTACTTGTGGTGCATACACACTAACTACATTCAACATAACATTCTCTAACATAACTTTCACAACTATAATTCTGTCATTCATCCTATGTACTTCCATCACGCTTTCTTTCAATTTGCTATCTAACACTACTCCTACGCCATTTCTTTTGCCATCACTTCCACAGTAATAGAACTTGTATCCTTCACCAATTTCTCTCGCTTTTGTTCCTCTCCATTTAGTCTCTTGTAAGCACGCTACGTTTATTCGTCTTCTTTTCAATATGTCCGCTAACTCTCTGGCCCTTCCAGTCATAGTCCCGACATTCCAACTGGCATACCTCAATCTGATTTCCCGAGCTAACTTCTTACGTTGCACCCGCCCGGGCTGGTGCAACAACCCTGGTCCATTTCCCACAGGAGCCGGGTGCTGCCCCTGCGCGTCGCCTGCGGGGTACGCCCTAACACTATCGCGCATTCCATTCATAACTGACATATTGCTTAGAGTTTTGGCTAGTATTTTACAGTCGGCCGCCCGCCTGACGCTAACCCTCCTTGGGAATGCTATTGTTGGTAGTTTAACCGACCCCACACGGTGGCCTAAAGTGCTTATTAGTAGGCACGGCCTTAGGAAATATCCCTTAGTCGCCTCTTACGACACCCACGGGAAGAAATGGGATGGTGGTATTCTTAACGTCCGGCACCATACGGACTTCGTTATTATTAATAATAATTAGGTTCAATGTGTAAGTGATGTCGTTGGTTAAGGGGGCGCTACTTATTCATAGGTTCAAAATCTGGCAAGTACCAATGTGACTTTTTCCGAGTTATATGTACTTTCTTTGATTTATTTAGACATCACTGACAAACGGAAGAAGTTGGGAAACATCGTGAGGAAACCTGGACTTATAGTTTCTAATTAAGTATAAGTTGGAAATTGTCAATCCGCCTTGAGCAAGCATGGTGATTAATGATCATACCTTTTCCTGTAGCCTTTGCTCCGCAGTGGGCACTTATAGGCTGATAATGTGAATGGGTAAGTGCTTTAGATCAAGTTGACCCTATTTTTGTAAGTTAATGACAGAATAGTACGAGGCTAATGGCAAAATACTTAGTTAATTTGTTTTAACTTAGGTATTCTAGGTAGAGTTTCTATATAATAATATCGAAAAAATATAACCTAAATATTATCTTAATTTATTTCATTCTATTTTTAGTCTATGATTAAGTTAAGGCTCTCGATGGGAA